TCAGCGATTGCGTCGTGAATGAGACCGCACTGCGCCCCTGGGCACTTCGAGCGGTAGAAGTGGCAGACGGAGTTCGTGGGCGGTGCCACGTCACCGGTGCAGTCGGCAGCGGCAAGCGCCGTGCTGGTGGCGTAGCACTGGCCGTCGGGGTCACCGAGGCTGTCAAGGTGGCGCAGCAAGTCCTCCACCGGGCAGCCGTGGTCTGTCGTGTTGGAGAAGTACACGGTGCCGTCTGCACTCACACACCTCACCGGAAACAGTTTGGCCGTGTAACTGCCTGTTTCCGCTGCAGGTGAAGACGGAGACGCGAAGAGATAGGCCTGTACGTACTTTTGGGCAGCGGTGGCCCTCTGCTCGAAGGCGATGGCGTCGCCAAACTGCGGCATTCGAGGATAGCTCTCCGTCAGCGTGTTCTCCGCGTTGAGGCCCCCCAAATCACTGAGCGCGGCGAACACAACAGGCATCGGGCCAACATTGACGGAGAGCCGGATCTTCTTTTTGCTGGACCCGAAGTCCGAGAGCATGCGGCGCAGGAACGTCGCGGCCAGTGACCCAATCCCCCCGTCGACCTCCTGTGTGGCGTCACGACCGTACAGGCGCCAGGCAAACCGCTTGCTGACGATCTCTAGTGCGCCCAACAGCGGCTGTAGTGCCGGATCCTCTTGTCCAGTGGTGGCGTTGGCGCAAAAACTGTCGTACACGTAGAAGGCACAGAGAGACGGTGCGTCCATGCACAGGTCCTCGTTGTTCGGTGGCAGAAAGCGTGCAAGCGTGGCGATGTTACTCTCGCCCAGCTGCTTCACCGCCCACACGTCATCAACGTGCAGTTCATTCCTCCACGCGTCCCGCATGATCCACGATGGCCAGCTCTTCGTAACAGACAGCGCCTCGTCGCTCTCCTCCGGGTCGTACTCCACCAACGGCAGCGAATTGGGGTACATTCCTTTTACGGCACCCTGCGCCGTGACGATTGTCCGCGTCGTCCCCGCCGCACGAAACATAATACGCGTCGGGTCAAATCGAGTGCCAAGGTTCAGCTGTTTGCCGTACCGATCCATGAGAAACGCACCAAGTTCGAACGTCGTCGCCTTCCCAGCGGGGGACAGATCACATGCATCGCAGCTTACTTTTCCATCGGCGAGGCTCGACAGACCACGGGCACCATTACGTGCAAGTAGCGTGACCCTCTCCAGCGTCGCAATGTCGCCGGTGACCCCTTGCGGCAGCAGCACCACTGCAAGTAGCAGCGACACCAGCAGCAGTAGGGGCAGTAGCGGCCGCATTATCTCGACTTTGTATACAAGCGGACTGCGCCAAAGGGGGGGGGTGGGGGAAACCGTTATGTTGGAGCAAAATTAAAAGAAAAAAAAAGAAAAAAGAAAGAGAATGCAGAAGACAGACGCCGCTACACACGGAGAGACAGGACGCAAAAGGAGAAATCATACTAATAACTCGCAGGAGCGGCACAGAAGTACGTACAGAATAGGATTTTAAAAAAGGGAGAATCATAGGAAAGGGGAGGGACTATATGAAAGGTCTGCTACGAAGTAACATGCCCATCTACATTGCAGGAGTATCCCCTTGCAGAAAGGGATGTGCATTTATCTCCCATTTCTCAGACGGCAGCACGCTCCAGTGTGGGCTAGGTGTCTTTTTCAGCCACTGGAAATCGTCAACCATCTTGTACGAGTCCTTTGTGCGCTCGTTGATCTGCTGCTCCCCCACACACCGCACCCAATCCTCATGTGTGGTGTAGCTATTCTCCCCGACGCTTGACTGCAGAAGTCCTGTCCAGCAGCTGTACGGACCAAACCGCATTTCGGTGCAGCACTCGATGATGGGCGTCGATGCACACCAGACGTACACGTCAACGTCGTTGCAGTTCTTAAGCCTAAGTTGGTGGCAAGCAACGTAGACCCTGCATTTTGTGCAGTCTGAAATAAACACTGACCCTGCCACAGGAAGAATAAAGATCTCACAGCCTTCGCACTCTCGTAAGAAGACTGCCTTTGATGAGCTAATGAATACAGCCCTGTTGCGGGAGTAGCCGTACACGTTGGTAATTTGACCCCGCTCTTCTTCGCCCTGTGGCGCTGATGGGGCCGCTGCGGCCTGGTGTTTTGCAACCGCTGTTGCTCCAACTTTCGGTCTAGAGGAAAATTTGAACGTTTTTGCTTTGTTAACACCATCACGGTTCGCATCAATGAGTCCCTGCAGTCGTGAGAGTGTCGCGTTAGACTTTGCCATTTCATGCGGTGTCAGGGCACTGTTGCTCGTGGCATCCTGCACAAGCGCCTTAAAGATATTAACAGTCTCCTGAGCTCCGCGGGTGTCTTTGTCGGCGAGACACTGCATAACGCCCCGCTCCAACTCCCTAGTCTTGTCCTCGAACTGCAGCCTGTCCCACGCGTTGCAAGAGAAACCGGCGGCTTTGTGTTGCCGCGCTTCTTCCCGCTCCGCACGTGTCCTCAGGAACTTCTCCTCCATCACTTTAGCTGCAAGGTCAAGACGGACAGAAGGGTAGGGAAGGAAACAGCACAGTGCAGAGATACAATAAACAACAACAAGGATATATTTCTATATAAAAGGAAAGAAAGAACAAGAAGATTTTTTCCAAAAATAACCTGGGAGTTGTGGTGATTGCAGGCACCTTCTGCGTCCAACACTCATCTCTGAGTGCAGAGGCGACCGCAATAGTTAGTCCACCCCACTCCGCATGTACCGAAGGAAAATACCCCGAAGCACATCCTTATCGAGTCGCTTACCGAGAATCAGTGCCCGCGAGCAACCTAGCGGGACACTCTGTCCCTCCATCGGCGTCACATCAAAGAGTTCCCCAATCGTCTGCAGCTGCAGGAGCGAATACTGGTCTTCCTTCTTCATCCACAGCGCCGCCTTGCATCGTACCACCTCAAACGGCGGGTCGTGTTCCTTGTAGAGCAGATCTCTACAGATCAAGTCCACCTCACTCATGTCACGGACAACCAAAAAATTCGGTTGCTCATAGAACTCCAGCGGAACGGCTGTAATGCTCGATGGGGCGCCGCGGTGGAGGTGCTCCAATTCCATGATACGTTGCGTGGTGTTGAGAAAGAGAATCTCCCGGAGGTTTTCCAGCCTCGAGTATGACGCGTGCATCACTTGCACCACGGGGTTGATGCGCCTCACCTCGGCCAGCGCCTGTCCCTGCTCATCCTCCGTCGCGATGTCGCACTTGTTCAGCACGACGCGGTCTGCCATGAGGATCTGCCGCGCCGCCTCGGACGACACCTCCGGGTCATTGAGGTACTTGCAGATGTTCTTCGCGTCCACGAGCGTGAGGATGCCGGCGAGGTAGAGCGAGCCGCACAGCGCCTCATCCTGCCAGAACATTGCGGCGACTGGTGCGGGGTCGGCGAGCCCCGACGTCTCCACAAGCACGAGGTCGAAGGTGCCCTTGCGCAGCATGAGGCTCTCCAGCGCCTTCACTGTCTGCGTCTGGGCTGTGCAGCACATGCAGCCGTTGTTGAGCTCCAGCCACTCGTCGTCCGGCTTCTGCGAGCTCTTAAGAGTGAGACCCTTCTCGATCGTTTTGCCAAACTCAAACTCGTTCACGATGACGGCGATACGCAGGTTATGCTCGGCGGACAGCACGTAGTGCAGCAGAGTCGTCTTTCCGCTGCCTAGGAAGCCGGTCAGGATCGTCACGGGAACCTTGGCGGTAATGAGCTCTGGACACTCATCGTCGTTCATGATCGTCCTATCTCTCTCTCTCGCTCTCTGTGTGTGGGTGTGGGTGTGTCGTGAATAATAATAATAATAACAGTAACAATCAGAGAAACAGAGTAGTACCGCAAAAAACCTTCCACATTCAGCTCTCTCCAAAAGGGGGGCATCTGCGCAAGGCAGCCCCATCGGGGTACCACACGATGAGGAGGTGGAAATTGGCAATGGTTTGGAGAGGGCCGCCACGCCGCAAAGAAAGAAAGGCTAGCAAAGGCGGAAACGACGCACAGAGCACCAGAGTTTACATTGGTATGCGCGTGTCTCCATGGGGCAAGTCAGATGGAAATACTTAGGCGTTGCTTCAGTTGTCCTTTGTGCTCCTCTTCATCCACTTGTTGTTCCAGTCGTTGAATGAGCGCCGCGTAGGCCATATACATATCAAAACTGTCTACGCGCGGCTTCTTGCGTCCAAACAAACGCGATGTGGGTGATCGAGACGATCTAATCATCGACCGACTGCCGCCAATAGGCGTGGGAGGCGACGCTGCCCGCAGCACACGTTCCGCCTTCTCGTGCACCGGTGGCTCTGGCAGCGTCATCACCTGTTGCTTCGCGGGGACCGTGTGCGATGTCGACTGCGGCATGCCGAGGGATGCAAGGCACTCGATGCGGCGACATGTTTCGTAGTACGTCACCGGGACCCCAGGAGGTCTGGTCTGCTCAGATTTTGTTGGGCTGCAGCTCATCAAGCCCGTCCTCTCGGTGGAGAAGAGTGGTAGAGAGAGAGAGAGAG